AAACGAAAGGAAAGAAAACGAAAGGAAACGAAAGGAAACGAAAGGATTTAGCTTGCATATCATTAGTTTCACTATAAGTAGTTAAGATTTGCTCCTCTACAACTTAGCACTCCATCACAGCTTATGCTTTCGTATTAAAATATAGTTTTCTTCAATTTCTCGAATTTTCTCGTTTTCTACGAAAGTAATAATTTTACGTGTGTGTGTTTGTTTCGTTGGGTTTAGATCCCGAGAAGACAGACTAAGATCCGTCCAAACCGAAATAGAAACAGCAAAGAATGTCTCAGGAAAAAAAAACAAATAAGCGAACAGAGTAATTTTCTCGGTACATGCAAGATGTCATGAAGCGTAGGCTATCTGCAGTGATTACATAACAAAATGAGAACAATACAGCATTGATAATAACAATCCTGCTGAGAAGAGCGATATCTAATAATGTACCTTGAACTAATCTTTAATGTCAACAGGAAATGCATGAAAATTTTGAAAATTCTGTTGAAAGTATTAAAAAAACGGCAGGCAAAAATGCGGTAGTTTTACTTCGACATATCATGATATAGCCTAGTGTGATTAACGGTTATGAAGAATATAAAGCTTCGAATCGTTTTTCTCGGCCACGCCTTCATTGTATCATTCATGTTTGCATGAGGTATAGACAGTAACCTGAGCCTTCGAACACAGCTAGACAGCTGTTACATCTATTCAAATTTCAACCAAGTTGATCTATCGAATACTATTCAGTTCTACTTAACCCCATGAAAATTAGTACTTAGTTAATAGTTTGTAGACGACTAGAGGAAGTTAGTTACGCCGATTACTTTAGATAATAGGACTACATGCTGTCCAATTATTTGGAAATAATTGGATGAAAAAAATTCCGAGGACTGACAAAATTGGAAGAGGCCGATAGGCCGAGTCCAATTTGGCAGTCAGAGGAATTTTTTTGAATTCAATTCTTCCAAATTGGATTATAACTTGTGCGATCATCTCTGGGCACGGTTGTACGAAGGGTGGATAGGGCTATCCGGCGGATAAATCCTTATAGTCCGGTTGGAAAGAGTAAGTCGATGCTGTTGTCCAAAAAATATATCCAGTGGATAAGTTTTATCCGTCGCTATCCACCCTTCGCACAACCGGACCAGGGAGGAAGGATTTCAGGAAGTAAGGAAGAAAACGGTATTTGATCAGTTGCCGATTCAAATTGTTCTTAAAACAATATTACCGGAAGTATGCCCACTCGAAACCCGATCGACAAGAAACTCAAGTATTTCTACATGTAAAAATAAAAAGGTGGTCTTTTAAGAGAGGGAAACGGAAGCGGAAAGAGGAAGGAAAAAGGCGGCAAAAAAGCCAGCATTTCTATTCAAAACCGGTTAGTCCGGTTAATTCTTGTTTATGCGATTTTCGGTGCCCTGGTAATAATAATAAGTAGATTCTAATGTTTGGCGGAGAAAAGAAAAGGTCAATCTGTAGACGTGCTAAAACGAGCGCTGTTTGCTAGCTGAGTAGGATGCTTGAGGTATCAATGAACTGCACATTTTCAAATGTAATTTGTAAAACTATGGGCTTCCGTTTTAACGTATTGTAATTGGCTGATATGTATTTGGATCGCTAATGGTCGAGAGAGTGTCGAGAGGTCGAGATGGAACTCCATTTGAGAATCGTTTCGAATCGTTTTGAATTTTATCGAATAGCGAGTTATCCTCGTTCGTTTCCAAACTAAAAAGCTGAAGTGTTTGACTGCTTAGCCTAATTATCGTATAGCAATCTAAGGCTGTGTTCATGATATATGGCAGAAGGGGGGGGGGGGG